TTTCAATAAAGATAACATACTATTTTTAATGAGGCCCTTTGGTAAGTCACGGTTTTTGCTTGGATCCTGACACCCGTGACTTAGCAAGGGGTCACTGTACAAATTTAGGTACTAGGCACAAAAATTGTCGCGAACATTAATACATGTATCTTCTTGAATGTGATAACAAACAAATGAAAAAAAAAAACATTATTCTGTGTACCAGTCATTGGTAGCATCATAAACTGTGAAATACTTTATTTTAGCTGGAATTAATTTTCGCTGAAAAGACTTTTTGAGTGTTTTGTATGGAATTTATTTTCACTGATTTTTGAAAAGTTAAATGTAAAATTAGAGGAAAAAAGGTATATTCGCTAAATTTTATTTTCACTGAATCATTTATTTCTTCAGCGAAAATTAATTCTGAGCAAAAATAAAGTATTTTACAGTAGGTGTTCTCCTCAAACCATGAGATTTTATATCTTACCTGGGATTGAACACCAAAAGGGAATTCAAAAAAATGGTCTGTATTTGAGGTGAGTGTGACACAGACTTTTATAATGGGAAAACTGAGATTCAATCAACAGATGGTACTTTGGCAGAACTTAGTTAGATTCGGGGCTTAGGTGCTTGTGTTCAATCAGGCCTGGTTGACGCCAGGATAGTTCATTAAATTTCCATCCGCATTATGAAAACCATAATACATAATACATAAAAACCAACAGATTTGATCATGTAATGTATTTTTCTTACTAAAACATTACATTTGACACTTACCTGAGAGGTTCATCACAATCTGAGAATAATAACACCACCAGCGATGACAACAATTCCATGAGATAATCCACAACTTGTTCGGATGGTTTTCCACTTATTTTCCATAATTTAGATATCACCTCCATTGACAACTACAAACACACAAATTTACATACAAGTACTGTACAATTGATAAGGGTAATGTATGAACAAGCCTATTTCTGTTCTATTTCTTTTCTCTTTGAATTTCTACTTTTAAGCACCAGAATCACACCCACACCCACAGCTTGTGTCTATGGCTTAACTTGTGTTAGTCTTAAGTCTTTGTGATAATATTTTAGTAATTTTGATACATTTTGTGCCTTTAATAAAATTGTTATTTTCAGATAATGGGAATTTATTGAATGATTGTTTTTGTCACGTTATTATAGAGTGGTGATAGTTTCGATGGTGTGATACGAGAATATATAGTGTACTTTTGTTTGCAATACCAGCTCTTCCGTGTCGATAATATCCTATTATTAAAAAAAAAACTAAAAAATCACAAAGACTGGCACAAACCAGCTATTGATCCACAGCTACTTTCCCAAGTATTTTAGTATAAACAAATTTACAATATTGTAAAAAAAAAAGAAAAATACTTTCATATCAACATACCTGTTTAACTTTATTCTGTCCATCTTCTATTTGACAATTCAGACTTAACCATAACAACATCAACTTATCATTAGCACACATAACAATATCTCTT